CCCCCCCCCCCCCCCCCAAAGAAAGGGACTACAGAATCACTCTTACCACCAGGCCTTGACAGAGGATTTCCCCATTGCTACTCAAAGAACACTGAATAAGTTTGCAGTTTAAGTTTAACAAATGAGGCTTCATGTATTTGTGTCCAACATTTGAAATCATGTTGCAGATAATAAAAAAACATTTAACCACAGTGCTGTGTGCAGTTCTGCAATCCTTTCTAGCAAATCTGAAACTCTGAATAGGTTGATACTCTCTTTCAAGAATTCACTGCTACCATATGCTACATGTTGTAAAAATGCAATTGTTATTCCAGATCTTTCTTCAGTTCATTATTTATATTCAGTTACATTAATCTGTTAGACACTCTTTCTACTTGTCACCACTGCACAGAGATAGACAGAAAAAAATGGTCCTTGTCCCAAAAGTTTACAGCCCAAGAAACTATATTTTCACTTTCTTTATCCTGTCCTAAACATCAAATGTGACAAGTCACTTTACATCTTGCAACTGTTTGTATTCAGACTTTTTAATTAGTTTAATGTGCCCTTTATTTTAGTGTAATCTAGGTTGATGTCTGAGAGAGGGATCTTAAAGTCAGATGAAAAGGAGCAAATATCTCCAGGTGAATTTTATGCATTTCTCCCCATGTTTGGAGGTGATAACGCATGAGTTAGTATTGGCACAGCTCATTTGAAATAGAGCAGGCTGCAGTGTTGGGCTGCAATAAGTTATACCCTCCTCTCCTTTCATGTCTGAATTTTATTGTTTCTAGATGGAAACAATCATGGTTGTAACTTTTGGAACAACTGTAACTGCTTGGTACTAACTTCTCAAGAACATAGGAAGTCTATATAATTTTATGGGATTTTTGCTGAACTTACATATACACACACACCCCTACTTTCCATCTAATTTTAGCATCCTCGGCTGTATATATGGCAGACTTCCAATAAACTGCTTCCCCAGAATATTTTCATATGTATAACAAACATTAGCTGTTGGTCCTTTCCTAAATCGTACTTCTGGTAAATCCTAAAAGCAGTTTGGAACTGAGAAAAAGCTCAGGCAATAACAATATGCACTCCTCAACAATTTTTGTTGAAGAGTATTAATAGTTAACCTCAGAGCCTTGATAATCTGAATCTCTTCCAGGTGACCGAGTTCAACACTGTTTAGCTTCCTGCATTTGTCAATGTGAAAATACACATTCCTACTTCCTCAGCATTGTCATGCTGCAGCCACATATGGAAATGGTTTTGCTTCCTGAGCCAAAGAACAGCAACCAACTCCTGCCAATAGTGTATTAGAAAACTCATAACTGGCCCTCCTCCAACCAGCTAATCTCATTCACATTTATATCCCTGGGGGCTGATACTTTTATGGGGGGGCTTGTGTAAATTATTGTAATTAATCTGACTACAGGAAAATAATTAGCTGGAGGATCTGGCATTGGCTTTAACATTGAGTTCCTGTTAAAAGCAGAGATTACAGAAAATGGACCTTAGAGTGGGAGTGGGAGGCAGTAATTGGTGTCAGACTGTAGCCTGTTTCAAAGAGAGCTTGTAAATACCTGAACATAGATATTTATGATGATCATCAAGACTGAGGATGTCAGGAATCTGCAAATTCAAGATAATTCCAGAAAGGTCCCTGGAGAAAGGGGTAAAATTTCTACGGCCAGTTCTAGCAGTAGGTCTGACATGGTGTAGTTGCACAATCTGAGTGCAAACAAGGCTGTGAGCAAGAACTTCAAAGTTCTGATTTTTTTGTTTCTATTTTGCTCTGCCAATGATTCACTTCATGCCTTTGAGCAAATTGCTTAACTCCTATTTCCCATCTTAATATCAGGAGTGTTACAACTGAGATACCAGAGTGGGGTGTTCAAGCATAAGTTAATGTTTGTGCAGCACTTGAAAGGTGAACCGCTTGTATGTTTTTAGGACTTAGTCAAAGGTTTAGTTCTATGGAGTGTGAGCCTTTATCAAAGGGAAGTTTAGGAAAATAAAAGCATTTTACCTTAGCCTGGAAATGTGTGGTCATGATCATATGAATAAAGTACTGTATTTGTCTCTACAAAAGAGATCTGCCAGAGCAAAGTCTCCTGTCCAGAAGAGTTGCCCCCTGTTCCACATACATTATTTGAATGCTCCAGTATTGCCATCCACCCAGATACACCTGTCTGATGGTAGTGCCACAAGATCAGTTTAAAGTCCAGAGATCAGTGAAGCATTCAGCTCAAATAGTTAGTGATCCTATTGGATTTAAAGATCCAGAAACAGAATATCCCACCCCCACAAGAAATGTTTTTTAGATCAGATATTCCATGAACTCTGAATACATGAATTTTTTTTCCATTTCCTCCCTTCCCTTGCTATCTAGACTTGTTTGTTTTCAGAAGGAATACTGCTAAAACAATATCCCCTAATGGCTCCAGGCAGTTACAGAGAATTCTGGCTTTTTAAAAGGAAAATGCAGAAATATTTTCTTGCTTCTGTGAAAGTAATCTTTGGTGATCCCTGCTAGTTCAGCCCAGGAAGGGGAGATTTGAGCTATTTTATTAGTTGCCTATACAAGTTATCTCTTCCAACATGTAGTCTTCAAACAAACTTGCCCATACCAAACTGCTAGTTGCTTATCTAAAATGCTCAGTTAATTTAAGAGTTTTCACTGTGCTTGAAAGCATTTTTGTCCTGGATTCTTTGGCTCGTTGAAGTATGAAAAGAGGGACTAAGCTTATTTCTTAGTAATGTTTACACTGGTGGTAAGGAGTGGTTTTAGACAAGCCATAGTAACATTTTTTTTTCTCATTTCCCAAACCATCTCCTCCCCCTCCTCCTCCAACTCTAGGCCTTTCAGGGGACCATCCACAGCTGTCATCATTCACTTCAAAGAGTCAGCTGAGTTTGAATCCTGCAGTTCAAGTGAATTTGCACCCAGGTGGCCAGGGTCCATCTCCTCTTCTGAGCCCTGTCTTGAGTGATGCTGGTGGTGCCAGGGTAGAAGAGGATGATGAAGCCAGACGTAAGGTAAGCACCACCAAGAATCTAAGCAATGAGAGGATGTTCTCTAGTACAGAAAAGCATTCTTCTGTGGTAACACATATGTATTTAATGTTAGAGTTTGTAGGACCTATTCCATGTAAGTAAGTTTATTCTTGGGTACTGGGATGGTTTTCTCTTGCTTCAGTGCATGTGTCTGGATGATCCACTTGTTTGTTGGAACCAAGCACATTACAGTCTGCCAGTAGGCATGTTCTGGTAACCCCAGCTTGCTATAGAGGGCTCCAGAGCTATAGGGAAACACTGACTTTTGTGCCAGCAACAAGGAACATTGTTTCAGAACACATCTTGCTAGGTGCATTGCAGCATATCCTTGATGTGCATCTTAAAGATGGCTTTATAGTCATTGATGACTCTTAGAGGCCATCTCCTCATGGTCTGTCTTGCAACTGAGATCAGCTGGAATGCTCAGGCTGACTCTCTGGGTTTGCGAGGTGACATCTGGTAACATCTCATTCTCAGTGGATGCCTGACAACTTTGGAAATTGCTTCACCCTGTGGTCACTTCAGCCTTGCCTGTGCTGAAGAATTACATTGTGTTAAAACATGCATTAAAAAGCATATTAAACAACTTTGTCCTTGGCTGTCATTTTGCTGGATTGTCCAGGGCTCATGTTAATTAAAAATGTCTTCTAATATGATCTAATTTCCCTGTGTAGACAACGTTACAGAGCTTATATTTATATGGAGTTTGCAGCAAAATCTACTTATATTTTTGCAGGAGGGGATTTTTGATCTTGGTCTTCAGTTATTTTGTGGGTTGGGGAATGATTCATGTTTTTGACATGACATCATCTTGCAGTTACGTTGAAATATGTCTTGAAATATGCCTTTGTATATAAATGGAAATATAAGCAATAAGTGTACCATATATGTATAATCATAATGGACCTCAGTCTGCTTCCATTTCAACCCCATATACCTCATTTTTAGAAATGTGGTATTTCAACAGTTTGAGTTTTCTTGGACTGAACCTCATTTATATAGTCGTAAGTCTTGGGGTGAATTTATGTTAAATGGTTTGCAGCTCAGCCAATTTCTAAGGCTTCTAAAGCTTCAATTTCCCTTAAATAATATTTAAAATGAAACTAACCCAGGCTGAGTCCTTTGTGACAACCTAAATTTCATACCAAACTTTTACAGCCTATTTATAAACACTTGGGAAATGGACAGTTACAATTGGGAACATTAGCAGATTATTAAGTGTGTCGATGCTGATGGTGCTGCTATAAATGTTATGTAAGTAACCAGAGCATAAATGTGTCAGTTAATTCATTTTTTATATGTAAGGTGTAGCTTTATCTTTTAAATTACAGTTCCATTTACTAAAATTAGATCACAGGACAAGTAAAGGTAAGACTTCCAAAATATTCCTCACAATCACAAAACACTTGCATTTAGTTTGACCGTGTTCAGTTACCTTTAGTTTCTCAGATCTTTCTCATGGTGTGATGTGCTTGCAGTACTGTAAGTTTAACTCTTTTATGGCACTTGCACACACACTCAGGACAAGGAGAGAGACCCTAAAGTGGGAGAAAAGAGTGGAAGTTTTGAGAGGGGTAACAGGGGTGATGGACAGAGCACTGTGATCAGCAACTGATAATTATGAAGGTGGAGGTATGCCTGAAAAGTTTTGCCACCACAGCACTGAGATGTGAAGGGCACTAACTGAAGCTTGTTAGGCAATCAACAGTAATAGATGCCAGCATTGCTTTATTCACAGATTAATTTTTTTAAGGCAACACAGATTTTAAAGACCTGTGTAGTAGAGTGTATGGAAATAAATTAAAAAAGATGATGAAATCAAGCAACCCCCCTGAAAACTAAGCTTTTAGTTTGGACGTATTGATAGTGGGGGAGGAAGCAGCACACTTTTTCCCTGCTCCTATTGTACCTAGCTGTACAGTGGGGCCTTGACCTTTGGCATCCAGGCACTACTCCAAACAATAATGATAGAGGCCAAAGAGAGAAGTGGAGAAGAGAACAGACATAACCTGACATCATCAGTGGAATGAGAAACTGCCTTTTATCAGTCAGAGCTCTCTGATGCAAGGGGCAGAGCTGAAGTTGCCAGACACAATTGGAAACCTGGAGGTGGGTGGAGCATGTAAATCTGCAGAATAAGGGAGGGAGACAGAGGATGAATGTCATATTTTTCATGCTTTTAAAGTGTTTCCAAACAGTGTTTGTTTTAACATCTTTTCAAGGAAAGGATCTCCAATCTCCTTCTCCACTTCTGTCTTGCCCTCCCCCACAACAGAATTTAGCACATTGTTTTTTTCATCTCTGTACATTTCCTCTCAATTGGATTCTGAACTGGCTATTGCTTGTGTACAGCTAATGGTTGTACCAATTAAATGGGTGATCTTTTCAACACCTCTCTATGCTAATGTACAAAGTGGAGCCTTGGAGTACTTATCTTACATTGCCTACCTTGTCTGAAGGTTGGTTGTTTGGTTTTTTTGCCTTCCCTTTATTGTATCCTCATTTATATTCAAACAAGCAAAATATTCATAGCAGGGAGGCTCCCCTCAAACTGTTTTTGCTTTCTGCCATCCTCTCCTGTTAGTGAAGGGTTTTACAGCAAATTCCTAGGATCTCCAGGGATATGCTTTCAGTTCCCAAGCATCATCATGCTGCAGTTGGTATACAGAGACTTTTGAGAACTTGATTCACTTCACTGCCTTTCTGCTGTCCATGCTATTACATTATCTTCATCAGAACATTAGATTTCTCTTTCCCTTTTCCTGACAGAAGTTGAGACAGCCGCTGACTTTTAAATAGTAGAAAAGCTAACAGTGCAGGGAGTTATTTCTATCAGTGCTGACCCTGGGCCTTGAGGTCATTTGCAAAGTATGCTGATAGAGGATTTTTTCCCCAAGACTGCTAGTTTTTGTGACATTGTGATCCAGATACAAAACTTAGCTAGAAAGCAAGAGAAAGCATCTCTCTCAATTTTTACAATGCAGAGTACTTCTTATCTTTTAAGCAATCCCATAGCCTCTGCATAGTTGCCCCCACTTCTGTTTTTTAGTGTTTATTAGGAATATCTTGTGATATCTGTAAGCATTACTGAATCCATTGTGTGTCTGAGGCTACGGAGGTCCAGCACTTGGGGCATAAAACACTGGAGTATTAATTAATCCATGAGGTATTGTAGTATTTGCCTCAGTGCCTGTTTTGGTGGCTGCTGGGATGTTTTCTTTAGGCCAGGGCTGCAAACTGTCTTTTCATTTATTTTTTTCTGGCATAAATTACTTTTTTTTCCCCTGGTTCAGCAGTAGTTGAAGGTGTTGGCAGTCTCACTTCCACACTCTAATTGTCATATCACTTTTCACTGCTTTGTGTGCAGGGACATTTTTTGCCAGGAAAACATATAGCTGCATTGCTCTTTTCCTGAAAGGAACGGTGATCCCACAGAAGAAACTTGCAGATGCATTGTGTGAGCCTCTTGTTTCCTCCTTAGGAACAAAGATCTAATAAAAAAATCTTTCATGAAAGTACTCCATAGAGCAGTCTGTTCTGAGTTCAGAGAACTCTCATCATCTTAGGTAATCCAGAAAAAATTCAACTGGAAGAAGACCTAGCTGTGCTCTTGAAACTCATCTTGTGCACTAGTTCTACACAGCAATTGTTGCTAAGGTCAACACACAGGGGCTCAGTTAGGACTAATGTGAGAAAAAGCAAGAGGGAGGCATTTTGGAAGGTCCCTGGAACTGAAGGGTGGCAGTGAAAGGTGATGAGGCAATGGAGAGAGAGAACGCACTTGGGAAACGCAAGGTGTTTAATGAGACATGTCTGTGCCTAAAGTTAGTGTGCAGACAAACAATGAATCAAGCGTGAACTTAAGAAAACAGCTTAAGTTGTGTGAAAAAGGAAGCATTCAAGTAGCCAATCAAGTTAGGAAAAAGGCGGAAAGAACA